CGAACGCAAACCTAGCTCTAGAACTTGCCCTTCGTCTCTGCCAGCAGGTTCCACTGCGCTCTGTGGCAGAGCGAAAGGGCCTATTAGTTCTAGAGATAAACGCAGTCTCCTGCAGTTTATATATTTTGCAGCGCGGACACATGTTAAAAGACGAGCTAAAATAAAAACTTCCCGCAGTCGTGTACCGCCTGTTACAGTCGTTTCTGTCTCCTTTGCGTGGATTGATTGTTATGAATTGTTGAGACTTTGTGATTCGTGAGTCGTGCGCAACATGTTCTCGCACATGATATAGCTACGACCTGCTGAGGTTTCACAGTTTAGTTTGTGTCGGAATTTGGACATTGGAATCAACTTTCATGGGTCAAGGCTCTTCTCTGCGGACACTTATTATAAAGTGTCATATAAATAAACCAGTTTTGATCCGATTGGGCACGTCTTTGCCCCTCCTTCCGCAAGTATGCCGCTTTGTCGGATCTTGATTTCCTGGCTACTATAGACGTCCACTGGCGTTGTGGCCGACATGTCGCAAACGGTTGTCGACGGACGCGACTGGTTTCGTCTAGAAACTTTGGCGGCGATGTGAGTTGTAAAAATATATGGAGTACAAATTTGTGATCGGTGTGTATGGGGTAGTATTAAAATGTGGCGTGTGCACTTCGTTTCGCGCGAGATCCCTTTCTGTGCCTGATTTATCGGTGCCTGGACGCCCTGTTGTTGGCGGGTGTTATGCAGCGCGTGCGGTCATTATGGACAGCTGACCATTCTATCATTCGTGTCGCAGTGTGCATTAGCCTCGCCCTCTCCGCCGGGGTGGGTTTGTCTCCGCATAGTGGCGTATATATATATATATATATGCGCTCGCATGTAGTTGCTCCCCATGTTTTTTTGTCCTATGACATTTTTTGTGTCCCCTCAAATTTTTTCTCTATTTCATCTTTTTGCCCTCCGAAATTTTGCCCTGTACGCCATCCTTTTGCCTTCCCCCCCCCCATTTTCCCCTAGCCATCTTTTGCATAGACATAAAAAGTTATAGAAAAAGTAATAGAGTCTATGACGATTGTTTTTTTTGCTCATATTTTGAAAAAAACAATGTGATTCTATCTCAAAAGTCGTCATGTGATTTTACTGATTCTGTTTTTCAGCCACGCATCGAGCCATCTCTTTTGCACCATCTTTTATGGTGGCAGGTGAAGTTCACCGCTGCGTTTTCTGCTGGGTTCGTGAGCAGCAGCACGCGCGCAACATTGCAAGCCGGATCGCCTCCCCCCCATGTCTGTCCTCAGAGGCACGTCCACGCACCTCTCTCGATTCGTAATCCGTTTGCATTCGGCGGAATCAGCGTTGGGAAGTCTTGTGGCTACAGCGCACTGTATACCAACACAGTAGACGGCTAGACCCACTGCGCAAATCATTCAAACTTCGTTTCGACGTCGAACTGTTCGTTTTGGTTTCCCTACGAGCGTCCTCTAAAACCGCAGCGCTCTATGCGCAGCCTACACTTGAAGTTGGAAATGCTGATGTACTTGTGCCGCAGTCAAGGACTTTGTCTTCCCGTAGGAGGTCACCTAATTGATTACAGCTATAGACGGCGGGGACGATGTACTTTGGTCGTGGATGAGTCTGCGTATGCCCATGTACCTCGCGACGATCGTAATATTTGACCAGCATCCGATTGTGACCTCGACGGTGTTTGCTCTCATAAGCGGGTTTAACTTTAACTATATATGTCTTTCGTGCGGCCAAAAACGTGTTTGTGTGCACTTCGCCGCCGTCGGCGCGTGCGGGCGGGCGGGGCGGCGACGCCGTTGGTCGACCGCTTGCTGACGGTCGTCGTCGTCGTCGAGTGGCGATTCGTTGTGTTTGATGCGTGTGTGTTGGATTGTTCGGTCGGCGCGTGGCACGTGCTGCGGCGTGCGTGATTGTGATGTGCGTGATTGTGTGTTGTATGTGTTTCAGGCGCGCGTGCGTATATGCCGCCGGTTGGTACGTGTGCGTACGTGCGCGCGTGTGCATGTTGCGTATGTGCGCGCGTGTGTATGTTGGCGCGCTGCGCGTACGTGCTGGCGGCATATTCGCGCGGTCTGTTTCTGAGCGATGCGGCTGTATATGCAGATAGGGAACGCGAGGATCACACCTCGCGAAGGCTTATACGAGGGCTTTCTTCCGCGCGCCTGTGTTTTTGCACACGCGGCGATTGAAAGGAAACACGCGCGCCGTTTACCGCCGCTCACACTTCGCCCCCGTAATATAAGCCGCATTCCATTAAGCTCTTTCGCTGTGCGCCACAACAATGTTTGTTCTTCTCATGCGCGTGTCTGCGTATTGTGGCTACGTAGGCGCACTGTGCGCGAACCGGTCCGCGAGCAGCAGCGAGTCTGCTCTCGCTCTCTCTATTTCTGGCTCCCTCTAGCGCGTCGCCTCCCTTGGCCATCCCATTGCTTGTAGTGCTCCAGCACCGGTAATTGATCCTAGCGAGCAAGCGCAGTTTTATGTAGTAGAGCCCGCTCGTAGACCCATCATATAGGCAATCAGCCCGCCGTCTCGCAGTCATTGTATTAACTCTATTAATCGCTTCTTCGAATGACTATATTTCCGCGTCGCTTGGATACATTCGGCGCCGACGCTCTTTCGCGCTCATAGAAGTAAACATGCATTCCCTACAGTGATGCTGGCTGTCTCACTGCGATCAGGGCTAATGCGCGTGTATCTATGTCCCCCCTCCCCCCCCCCGCACACAGCACACCGTCACCCGATGTACGCCGCGTGACTTGTGTGATATAGCCAAAAGAAAAAACGAAGAAATAGCTAATACTGTATGATAACGCGCGGCGGGACAGAATCCACTAGATTCTAAATGATATCAAGTAATAGATGAATAAATTAACACACCAGCATTTTCTCTCTATGAGCTAACGGTGGCACACGTTAAAAATTTCAGTTCAATAATATCTTGCTGGTGATACGAAATAGTACAACAGCGACACACTGAGTGCTTAAATGTACCATGTTGCCCCGAATGTGGATTGAACCATGTTGCCAGAAGATTCCATCTCTCCATATCTGATGGTTTACTACTGAAGAGTAGTAAACTGTGGGGAAAGTGCTCGAATGTCCGAGAACGAGAGACATACTGAAGGAGAGAGGCAGTCGCGTGGAGGGGAGAAAGTGTATCAGACATTAGGATGTGGAAATAATTGTATGCAGAAAGTAGATGGAGAGAATAGTGTATCAGAAAGTAGATGGGGTAAATATCTGTATCAGATAGTAGATGAGAGAATGAGCTGTAATCAGAAGTAGATAGGAGAGAATATGTAGTCAGAAAGTAGATGGGGAAATTTTGTATCAGAAATCTTCTACGAGAGGCAGTAGATGTCATTCCTCAACCACATACCACCTTTAAAAAAAAACCCCCAAGAATACGTTGATAACAATTTCTCCACAATTCCGTCATCGTCACCAACTGGCCTAAAAAGAGAAATCCTCAATCCGAGATTACGCCGCCCCCCACCCAGCAGGACGCTGCCTTGCACTAACTAACGAGCCCACCCTTCCCCCCCCTTTGCGCAGCAGCAGTTGGCCGACCTGACGTTCAGCGAAGACGATGGCCGACGCACCGGTGGAGCCCGATCGGGAAGCGCCGGCCTCGGCTACGAGCGAGAGACCGATCGCGTCGCCGCGCAACGAGCGCGCGGACGATGAGGACACCAGTAGCTGTATGGCTCCGGCTATGTAGTCCTGCGACGAGGAAGAGGGTGGCGAGAGTTGGCGAGGTGCGAGTGACCTAACCCCGACGACTACCCGATGAGTATTGGCTTCGCGCATCGTGCTAGCCTCACGTGAGCTGGATTGTTGCCTGTGGCGGTATTCCTGCCGTTGTGTCGCATGTGGATTGTCTCCGTGGCTGTTGTCCCACCACTTTCGCTAACATGTTCTGACTCGTTTTACTGATTATAGTCAGTGCCTCTGTAATTGAAACCTGGTTGCCATTGAGATGCTTACAATGGTCATGCCTGCTATCTGGATCAATTTGCTTAACATTGACTATGGTTGCTTTACTCTGATCAATGGTTTACATTGTCATGGTTTGCTTACCCTGATCATTGCTTAGCACTCGTTCATGGTTGCTTTTACCCTTGATCCAATGCTTACACTGGTCATGGTGCTACCTGATCAATCTTACACTGGTCATGGTTGGCCTTAGCTACCTGATCAATGCTTACACTGTATGGTTACTACCTTGATCTGTTTACACTCATTGGTTGTACTCTGATCTAATGGCCTTACATGGCCATGGTTGCTACCCTGATCAAGCTTACACTGGTCATTGGTTTGCTACTGCTGATAATGCTTACACTGGTCATGGTTGGCTACCCTGATAAATGTTACACTGTCATGGTGCTACTTCTCATCAATGCTACACTCATGGCTGCCTACCCTGATCAATGCTTACATTTGGCATGAGGTTGCCTTACCCTGATCAATGCTTACCACTGTTCATGGCTTGCTAGCTCTGGTCTAACTGCTTACACTGCGTCATGGTTAGCTACGCCTGATCAAATCGCTTACACTTGGTCATGGTTGCTACTTCTCATTCATGGAGTGCTTCGCTACCTTACATGTCTGGTTCGTACCCTGAATCAATGCTTACACTGGTCATGGTTGCTACCTGATCAAGTGCTTAATGCACCGGCATTGTCCCTGAATCATGCCTCCTGTCATGGTGCACTCTTCATCAATGCTTACACTCGTCGATGAGTTGGCTACCTGTATAAAGTTTTACACTGTCATTGGTTGCTACGTCTCATCAATGCTTACACTGGTCTGGTTACTACCCTTAGCAAGCTTACACTCTATGGTTGCTACCCTGATCAATGCTTACATTGGTTCTATGGATGGCTACTCTCATCAAATGCTTACACTGGTCATGGTTGCTACTCTCATCAATGCTTACACTGGTCATGGTTGCTACCCTGATCAATGCTTACACTGGTCATGGTTGCTACTCTCATCAATGCTTACACTGGTCATGGTTGCTACCCTGATCAATGCTTACACTCATGGTTGCTACCCTGATCAATGCTTACACTGGCCATGGTTGCTACTCTCATCAATGCATACACTGGTCATGGTTACTACCCTGATCAATGCTTACACTCATGGTTGCTACTCTGATCAATGCTTACACTGGTCATGGTTGCTACCCTGACCAATGTTTACACTGGTCATGGTTGCTACTCTCATCAATGCTTACACTGGTCATGGTTACTAACCTGGTCAATACTGATCATGGCTTATTTCTTGATTAATGCTTACACTGATCTTGCACCAAACACCTACAAGTCACGGTCCCTACCCTAACCAACCGACCTGCTTTACCCTGGCTCTACGCCATATTAATTACTAAACGTGTTTATGCTTGAACCCGCAATAGAACTTTTATGGCGCCTGTGCATTTGTGGTTTTCCGTGTGGTGGTAAGATAATTATGTGAACAATTACGTTATGGCACTGTGATTGCCGTTGCTCATTAATATTGGCGACTGTTGCTTGATACCGAGAAAAGATACTTGTATTGACACCTGTAGCTGTTTGTAGCATGTTTTTTTTCAAATGGCATCTTGTGCTTGCATACTTTCATATATTTTGTTAATTTTTATTGTATTAATTGTTTCATGTCTTTTTTTGGAACTTACTGTCATATCTTACTAATGTACGCGGTACGGCAATGGTACGGACTTGCACGTAACTTGCTCACCTTTATTAGATATTGGGTTATGCCTGTACGTACATCTGTTTGCTAGTTATGCTATTATGTTTGTTCTGAACTAATACTTCTGGTGCAATGTTTTGAAACTATTAGTATTATGCGTTTCTCTAATATGCATGTTACAATTACTTCCTTCTATAGACTTTCTCGAGATGCCTTGGACATACATTTATTTCTATCTTTCTGTCTGTATTCTCTCATTACGATTCTCTCTGTTTTTCTTACAGTTATGGTTATTTTGAGAAAGGAATTCATTTATTTTCAATTTTCTAGCTTATTTACTACACATCGTGACTGTCTTATCTAGTTTTTTTGCTTTTAGATGACTGCAAATATAACAGTGATGATTTGTAACACTTGTTTGCAAACCGTGCACTTGTTTTAATGGAATTTCCTTCATTTCAGAAATGTCTGAATTTGATCATTGTGCGTTTCAGTTGTTTATCGAATGAAGATAAACTTCACGTCTATAGAATTTTCAAAAGATTTAGAAGATAGAAACACAAAACTATTTAAAGAGACGTCAGAGAGGATAGCGCGAGAGATTGAGGCCCTCTACCTCCCTGTGCCAGGACAGCAGCTAGTGATTGTTGCCCAGTATAGGTAAGCGCCGTGGCTGTGTACGCCGATTACTATGGGGAATTCGAATTAATCTGATTAAAGTTGGCGGTCGCGTTGGCGTGGAACGCTATAGAAAATTCGTTGCAAATGGGAAGCTTATTAGGCACTTACAATTAATGAAGGTTAGTTTAGCTAATATGTACATTAATCACTCATGAGAAGTTACCTTTGAGAATAAATGATATTAGTGGTTATTTTTTTGGCAGTGATTTGGCGTGGATCTCGTATTAGTTTTCGTCGTGCAAAGTCTTTACCTTCTTCCATCTTACCACACTCTCTTTTACTCTCCCTTTGATCCCTCTTTCTCTCTTTTGCCATCTCTCTTGCTGTGCATTTCTCTATGTGAGTACGTGCGTGTATGCACGTGTGCATATGGTGTGCGTGTGTGCGTGCGTGAGTGCGTGCGTGCGTCTACGGTCTCCCTCGCTCTTTCTCCAACACTCACTTTTCCCTTTTCTCTCAGTTGCATTGCAAGTGACATTTGACGCATCTTTCCAGACCTAACAACGTAGGATCAAGCATGGTGACCAGCGACCTGACCGCGGATGGGCAGCACAATGAGGTGCTACTGCGCAACGCCGTCTGGGACAGTGTCCGACGCGGCCGCATCGGTGGCTACACAGTCAGCTCAGACGGATTCCAGTTCACACTGCTGAGAGGTAAAGCTGCCCTTGCGTCGCTGAACCTGCGACCCGGCCCCCCATGTGCATGTTCTCATCTTAACACTGCTCTCTGCAGCTGATGGGGTCGACCATGTGTCTTGCCATGCCTTCGTTTATAGTTGCATGATATAGAGAGCATTTATACCGCTCCCACCCCCAGCCTAGCAGCAATTTGCGTCGGATTTGAATTGTATATTACAGATGGACTGATTCGTGGGTAAGTGTCGATACAAATGCATTGAAAAGGCCTAACTTTTAACAAGGCTAACCACTCATCAACTGTTTTATGTGCCATCTAGGCACCTACGAGGAATAACCCACTCATCATCTCGTTCGTTCCCTTTGCTTTGGTGATTGGGATTGATTGAAATTTTAATAGCTCACTTAATTCAAGTTGGAAACTCATGGAATCATGGAAACTCACTAGCGTTTATCTTTCACTACCTTTTACTCTTCTCTCTCTCGCTCTCTCTCGCACTCTCTCTCTCTTTCTCTTCCTTTCTCCTCTCTCTCGGTGTATCGGAGTCTCTGTCTCTGGAGCTCTAGCGCTCTATTGCTCTATTACTCTTGGTGTCATTTTCTTTTTCCTGCTGTTCCATCTATGCCTCTCTTTCATTTCTGTCTCTGAGTCTGTTTCTCTCTCTCTCTCTTTTCCTCTGTTTATTTTTTACGCTCTCGCTATGCTCAGCTATGCTTCACTAGGCTTCACTTAGCCTTATCATTCATGTAACGTGTTCTATATAACGCTAATGACCGCCAATGTCTTCAAATTGAACAGATTTAAAATTCTCATTATCTGACCATTTGTAGAATTCGTTATTAGTTGACTTATTGATGATTCTTGGCAAGTTACTGTTTGCCAAGATGATGTTATGGCATAGACAGCAAGATATTAGCGTTGTCAGAATAAGTAAAACTGATTTCGCTGAGTCCAGCACTATTCAACATTTTCAATGATTAATGAACTGAGTGTTTGCATTTAAATTATTCAGATTATTTAATATGTAAATGGTCTCATTGTTCACCCAACGATGAATTATTTCGTTTAGGTTATCCATTTCATTTGTCTATTTTGAGTATAGCTTATTATCTGTTTCCCTTTTAAATGCTGTCGTATAACAGGAGTTTATCAAATGGGAAAGAGTGAGTATAAAATAAGTTAAATTGGTGGAAATTAAAATGCTTTCGAACTGGAAGAAGTAATCTAATCAACTGATTTGAAATTTATGAGTAAAGAACCATCCTTATAAGTGCATGTCAATATAACCACTACTCATAAACAGTTGGATAGTCACTAAACACTAAACAGTAGTTTGTAGCAAACTTAACCAACAATAACACTTTGGTAGAACTACCAGTAGTCGTAGAGTCTGTCACATGTAACTGAGATATCTTGCGTAGCATAGAATGGTGATTAGCAGACCACCACCAGTCGCACGCCGCACACGGCTTGCCTTGGTGCAATTGCATCTCGTGACGATTGCTACGTGATGCTAGTGTGGGAATCCGCCTCTGCTACCCTGGTGGTGATCTGCTCGAGCGAATGCTTACGTGTTCCCTCACCCAGCCTGCTGTTGTAGTTCCCCCAGTGACGGAAGGCTGCCAGGCCTACCAGTTTCTGTGCGGGGATGGCTCTTGTGTCGACGGACGCTCCCGGTGTGACGCGGCGTTTGATTGCCCGGACGGATCCGACGAGGCCAACTGTCGTAAGTTGCCACCGCTTAACGTAGCGGTTAGCGCGGGCTGGCTGCGCACCGGGAGTGCCAGCTGCGTCCGTCCCTGTCCACGCGCGCGCGCGCTCACTCTAGGTGGATTCATGACCGAGAATGACTCGACGCGAGCAGCTGGGTTTTTGGGCTTCGCTTGCGCCTGCTTCCGTTTTTGCACGAGTTGCATTGTGATGCGTGCATATGTCGCACTGCTGTTCGTGATCGAGTCTTCTTCATCGTCTGCCTCCAGTTATTATGGTGCCACCTTGTTCATTGGCCTCCTGGCCGCCACCTATAGCTGTCTTGTGGCGTTTGTTGACGTTCGGCAGTAGCCGTTCTCAATAAGTACTGTCGTTGTAGTTACGTAGTTTGTCAAGCATGTTTGCTGTGCTTATCATCACTAATTAATAGCTAGCAGCCTAACAGGTAGATAGATATACTTGTACGCCAGCATGTCTGTGATAACACCGTGTGTAGTTTACCAAGCATTAATTGTATTGCTTTTGTGCAGGACCAGCGAGTGACTTCTTGTTGTTATTGAAGACAGAGATGCACACCTTACTCGCTGTCAGAATTAGCTAGCTTCAGTGCAACTATTTGATACAGTATTTGTAATTGCATATGTTGAGAGAACGAGTATATGTTGTCAGTGTTACGATATCATTCTCTTGCAGCGGTAGCTACAAAGAATGTATAGCGATGCTATCATAGCAACAGTTGCTTAGACTGCAGAGTGGCCCGTTCCAGTTTAGTTGGTGCTGTTGCCACAAGTGCCTAGCAAACTTTGTTATGAAGCCATCGTACACGCAACAAGCTGCACAGATTATTGGCACTGTCAGCCACTGCTCAATTTTATTTTAAAGTGCTTCACAGTGACAGAGTGTTGGCTCGTCAATGCATGGTCAGCTACTGAAGACGTTGATATTCTTACGGAATGTGTTAGGCTTGTGTGGGGCGTGCATTGCAGCAGGATCCATCAACACATCTATGGCATAGAAGCAGTGTTCGCAGCAGCAGCGTTGCCCGCCCCAGGATTAACGTGCATAATAAAGCGGGCATCGTGTTCCCAACCGCACTTGATACGATCGGCATATCCGCGAGTGATCCGGGCGTGACACGCACGCGGATAGACGTGGTACCCTTTAAGCACCCCTTTTTAGCTCAGCTGACGAAGTCGGATGCAGCTTGTAGAATCACATGAATGTCCGTCCGTCCGTCAACAGTTATGGCACAAAGCTATATTTAAGCACAACATGGAATAATCAGGGCTGCCTCAGAGACCCTACTCCACATCCGGATTCACCGCCGCAGCAGCCGTCTACTTGAGGGTGGGGTCGCGAGGGCCAGGGGGTCAGGGGCAAGCATCTACATGCAACTAATGCACTGCTCTTTGCTTCTCCCCCTCGCAGAAACGCAGTGCGTGGCGGGTGAATTTACCTGTAACGACGGCCAGCAGTGCGTGGAGGAGAGGCGGCTGTGTGATGGCTACCAGGACTGCGCTGATAACTCCGACGAAGCCACCTGTGGGCCCGATACTGGTAAGCAGGGGGTCGAGACACTGGTAAGCAGGGGGTCGAGACACTGGTAAGCAGGGGGTCGAGACACTGGTAAGCAGGGGGTCGAGGTAATGGTAAGCAGGGGGTCGAGACACTGGTAAGCAGGGGGTCGAGACACTGGTAAGCAGGGGGTCGAGGTAATGGTAAGCAGGGGGTCGAGGTAATGGTAAGCAAGGGGGCCACAGTAGGCTGCGGGAGGACCATATGTCTACGTGGTCTACTCGTGCCTGCAACATCTGTGGGAGGAGGGCAACTCCACTGTCTGCCGACCCACAACGGATGAGCAGTGCAAAGTCAGACCACCTGCAGTAGGCAAGAGTTTGGGAGCTGGGTGCTTTAGCTATTATAGATAATATACACATCCTCACTAAAACTGATAGCAGATTTCCTGATTAGTTATTACCATCTTCTGCTTGTTGTTCTAACCTTGTTTTGCACAGGCGGCGCTGCGTGTGCTTAGTTATTACGCACCAATTCGGTTATGTCTGCCAAGCGAAAACAGCTTCGACGTTTAGTTTTTTTATTGTTTAGATTGAATTTGCTGGAATAGTGGTGGAAGCTTGTCGTGCCGATACCAAAATTCATTAGTGTTTATCTCCGTCGTTGGTTAGCTCGGAATGTTAAACAATGCTCACTTCTATTTGGATTCCACAGGAAATGCAATTTTTCGCATCTGTCTCCATCTTCTTCTGCAGAAATAGTTGTATTGCAAGTCCACGGGTTGGTTCGCTCATTTCGCCGTTTTATTGCATTTTTTCCGAAATTTTTGCATTCATCTTTAATGAATTGCAAATTCACAATTTATAAGCAATTCCCGTTCGGTGCTCATTGACAGAAAACACTGTGGCGAATGTGACTTCGGCTAGTTGTTGTTCAGTTGTAGGAAAATGGGCAGTGGCCTCGGCCAGGCGAGATGAGATTTCAACTTGATCCGCTGCGTAGTTTTCATTTTTTAGCGATACGCTCCGTCGCCGACAGCAGTCTGGATCACCGAGCACCGTCCGCTTCGGTTGGCATCTCCTCGTTTTTCCTGCAGCGATCGTGTCTTTACTCGCGTGGCCATAATCCTAACGTGTTCGGCGACCCACCCACGATTATCCCTCCCCCTCGGCACGCCCATACAGGCAATGCGCGGGGCTTGTGTAACGTAGCCTGGCATTCTATGTGTACAGGCGAGGGTCAGACTGGTGTCAACCAGTGCGCCGACGACCAGTTCTTTTGCACTGACGGATCCTGCGTGAGAATATCGGCAGAGTGCGACGGTTTCAGCGACTGCCCCGATGGCTCGGACGAGAGCCAGTGCCGTAAGCTGCATCTCCGTGCACGCAGGGGGGGCGCCACTAGTGGTACATTCACTCACTGTTATAACCGCACGCAGGGCATGTGTGTTCTGTTGTACGTGCAGTGCCACCAAGTGAGGATTTTAATAGCATCCATTGAAGGCACAGGAATATTATGGGGAGGGGCACCACACAGTCTTTTTTTTTAGATAAGGCGATAGATATCTCATAGTCATAGGTGGGTCATTTGCCTCCAAAGCAAGTTCATTAATAACTTAATAATATTATTTCATTTTAATGTTGTTTTTTTTAAAAGAAAGCCAGCAAGGCTGGATTAGTACATTTGATATATATATCAGAAGTAGATAATAGGGAAGGAGTGTGACTTCAATAAACAAGGGAAATTCGTCATTTACTAGCCTTAGAATACCTACGATTTACTACGCGTAACTCAACCAACTTGAGCTCAAATCGTACACAGTACATTCGCCTTGCATCGTGCGAAATCGTTTCCTCGTATACACCCGCAATCCGGAGATACAGACTAAAACGTACGACACGATTATCCATTCTGTTGCCAGCAAACCGAATGTATAAACCGCCTAACTTGAAACAAAAGGCAGCTACTAGCGACTCTTGCGCACTCTTGCTCCCTCGGCGATGCGGTGTGGCTCGCTAGTAGCTGCCCTTTGTTTCAAGTTAGGCAGTTTATACATTCGGTTGTATCTACTCTTGACAGCAGCAATAATTTTAGGTATACATAACCTCGCTTGGTGCTGCTACACAATGCTGGTGAAGGTACAGATCACAGCATTGCTGTGTGGGCTTGTTATAACAGTGTAGAATAAACCAAACATACACCCCCCCCTGCTCAGATAAGCGTAGGCCTACTAACTACTGATCTTTATCTGATAATCTCTGATCTAAGTTTGCCTGCAGAATAGCTTCTTCACATCTTCGTCATCATCTTCTTCTTCTTTTTAGTGATAGTCTTTCTACTGTTGACGCCAGCCTGCTGACGCATTTTGTTCTCTTTCACTAGTTGGACACAGGGGTGCGTGTAGGGGCGCCATCTACACGCAGCCTTTGTTAAAATCTTGCGTCTGATCGAAATACAGAAGCAGTTGCTGTATTTTCAAGTTGTAGACACACTCGGTGCACACGGAGTTGAAACGCAATTCTAAATAAGATAATTACTTCAAGGTCACCTCTAAAATCACTAGTAACTTTTGTAATCTTGAGTAGTTCATGCATTCGATGTAATGACAATGATATTCAGATGCAATCTAAAGATGCAGCAATTGACAAAGACTAACATTGGTGACAGGTCATGCTCTCTCTAGTTGGTGGCATGCTAACCATTCTGTCTGTAGTCTTGCTTCATAGTAATTTTCTCACACCTATGAGCTGGAGACGTACTGTGTGTTCAGTACAGAACAACTGCTCAACTGTAATGTAGTTCTTCTCTAATCTTACAGCTCCTACAGAACTCCTCTGCCATGTTGTCACTTCTATGCCTGGATATGTTTCAAGTGTCTTCTTTCCCAAAATTTATATGTTCTTGTTTATATTAATACTAATAGTAGTGGGTGTGGTGCAATGGCATCCCCCTACAGGCATGCTATTTTATGAAAATTCCAAGAAGCACCATTGGGGGAAAACAGAATTTACCTATGGACAACTTCTACTTCCCACAAAGTTTAAAACTTTGCATTATAGAACTCAACATGATGGCTTAATTTCCATTCTGTTAAGGATACATATAAGCAGTAGGAAAAAGGTAATAATATAGATCGCTTAGCTCGAAACGACACCCATTTCCCCCGTTCCATCCACTGTTGTCTAATGATTGGCGACTTTTCGAAACGGGCTGCCCGAAAAAAACAGAATTGCTCGAACGTGCGAGCGTGATGTGGAAACTTGGCTTGTTGTAGCGCCCTCTCGCTGTGGAAGCAGGGAATACCAGTGTGGCGATGGCTCGTGCATCGACAAGCGGCAGGAGTGTGATGGTCGCCGGGACTGCGCTGATGGCAGTGACGAGCTTCGGTGCTGTAAGTGTCCTCATCTGCGTATGTCCCTATGCATGTCTCCCTTCTGCTGTACTCCTCTCTCAGTCTTCTTGTCGCTCCCACTCGCTCACCAGTTTTCTACTAGTCAACAGTATATTGATGCACTCACCTCTCTCGTTAATTTTTACTTATTCTATTATTTTTTCTTTCTTTTCGAACTAATTGCATGAACAGTGATGAATAACTGCTTTCTTAACTAACCGAGATGAACGAGTGGAAATCGATGCTCAATAAATGCAGAAACTGCAGAGGGAACTAAATCACTTGCTCGGTTTCTCCCCCTCTCTGCCTAGATTCCAGCATTTTTATCTTTCTAACGTAGCTCTCTCTTTCTAACCTCTAGTCGATTTGGGACCGGATGCCCCGTGCATGACTCGCGACTCTCTGTTCAACCCAGATACGGGCCTCACGCCGGCCTGTGCGCCACTGCGTGGCTGCTCCGTGAACGGGTTCTATTGTGTGCCCTATGGGGATTCAGCCATATGCTGCAGTGTTTCAGGTTGGTGGTGAGGACTTGGTGTGTGTGAGAGAATGATGACTAACAGCGATTGGAGGGTGAGGGGGTGGGGGGGTGCGGTTTCAAATGAGTGAAGAAGGAGGTTGGGAAGGCAGGTTAGTTAGCAATGAAAACAATGAGAGATGGGGAGAGAAAGAGAATAGATTTGATATATAACAATGGTGGATGAGCAAATTAGTAGGTAAGGAGGTCAGAGAACAAGGAGAGTAGCGAAGGAGAGTAGCAGAGGAGGGTGATCAATAATGAGGATGAGGGAGTGGGTGCAGGTAGACTAGGTAATCATGGAATTGGAAGGGAAGGGAGCAGTATATGACAGTGGAGAAGCAGGCCAGTAGATAATGATGGTAGATGGAGAAAGTTGGCAGACAAAGGGGATAATAATGAGCAAACATGGCAACATATAAGGAATTATGGGGTATAGTAGTAGTTTAAGCTAAAAAAAAATAACACTGTGTGCTCATCCAGACCGTGTACTTTCTAAGCGGCTTTCCAAATTCCTATTTTATTGCTTGCATTTGCTAGTGAATGCTTGGGTGGTTCTATGTTGATCTTCCAGTTTGGTCAAATTGTTAAATTAATCTAGCCGATTTTCAATGACAGCAACTTGCCCATGTTTTCACAACCACCTTGTGTCACCAGGTGGTGGTAGTAAGACGGAAAGTGATCTATATATAATATCATATATATATATATGATATATAATGTATGTAGGTCCTCTCAACCAAAGGCGACAGCTACTGTAACCTGAATTCATTGCACATGCTTTAACGTTACATAACATGGTTTTTCAGCTGGATGTTCGCAGGATCAGTACAAGTGCGACGATGGTACGTGCATCGAAGGTACATATGGCTGTGACGGCATTGTTGATTGCGCAGATGGATCTGACGAGGATGAGAGATGCCGTGAGTTTATTACACTCAATCTAATTGTTGTCATAGAGTTCTGCATCACTGAAATTATTAGCAATGTCTTCATTACTGATAGCTTTATATGCATCATTAAGTAATGTTTGTCATCATTATCATCGCCAGAATTATCGCCACCATTATCATCGTAATCAATGGAAATGGCAGGAGAATTAACATCACTCCCGGCATCAGGTTGATTAAAAGCATTGTCATCACCATCGTCGTCGTCATCATTAGCATCATCTTTATCATCTTCATCTTCTTCCTCGTCCTCATTGTCATCATCATTATAAACATCGCCGTCATCACCAATATTTTTGTTATCATCATAATCGGCCGCAACAGCAACGACAGATTTTTGGCATCAGCATCAGCATAAGTTTCATCAGTGTTGTTGTGGAGCAATCCAATCATCTGATACTTCGAAAAAACCATTCTGCAGTGCTAGGAAATTAAATCCACACATCTTGCATCAGTCCTTGTCTGTGTTTTTAGCTGATGTGGAATGCGGACCAGATGAGTTCCGTTGCAGTGGAAGCTTGTGCATCGACAAGGCATGGAGATGTAATGGTCAGCCTGATTGTAGAAACGGTGCAGATGAGCAGGGCTGCCGCAGTAAGTGTTGCCTAGCAGAAATGGCTCTACCTGACAGGCATAACGGTTGTGTTTCGTGTAGAACCCGGCTGTTTGCAGCCACACGCAATGTCAGCCCACCTAGCCAAATATTTACAACCTTATGGAATCGTCACTCAATGTGCTCGTAACCGGTCGGCGTGGTTGGCTGACACTGTGCGTGACTGGTCTCGTGGCTGTGCGTGGTGGCGGTTGATAGGAGAAAGTAGCGTGTAATATATTCTGTGGGCCGTAGCTAAACCGTCGTCCCTCCGTTCCGGTGCAAAGGTAACCCTCACTGTTGAGTGTTTCGATGTGCACATGCACTGGTGTACGTTATCACAGCGTTAAGGTTTGGTATTGCCGAATCTCATTAAGCAGCTTCATGAGGAAAGGGGAGGAAGCATTAGCCATGCATTGAAGTGAAAAGTATTTGAATAAGGATGGCTCGGGATATACTATGCCCTCGTTCTCCTGACCTGGTCACTGGGTGTAGGCAAGTGAGTGATGTAGGGGTCTGAGCACTCGGGGCAAGTGCTGACTGCCATGTGACCTCGTAATAATTGATCTGCACTTAATCCAAGAGCCTATATCAAAGAAGCGGTTCAACGTTGATCAGATCGATTGTTCGACACGACGAGCAGCAGCAGAGGAGGTCACAATGTCACAATAAACTATGGAAGATAGCAGAGCGTTTTATTAAGCACAGAAGCAATAAAACTAGATTGAAATGGTTTCTTTGAGCAGTGGTTAGAGGCAGATGACCGAGTACAACAAGATAGTTTCATTAAACTAGAGAGAATACAGATTTTGAATGTGACAATGATAAATCTTGTAAAAGGTTATAATTTTTGTGTGGAGAATGTAAACACAGAGAAAGCGCCAGTCAAGGTCGGTCTGAACAATCCCAGAACTGGCGTGGTAGTGTTTTAAGATCCATCTGGCATCTTTGTGTTGAATGGCTTAACTAACCTGGTACAGTTGTGTAGAGTGTGTGGGGGGGGGGGGACCAACTAGGCGAAGCATATTCTGTTATGGGAAGGATAATAGCTTTAACGGCCAGAGATTATATTGCCATGTCCAATGTAATTTCACTGCCTAAGTATGATAGTTAATGCACTGCACGACGTTTAAAGCTAAATATGTCTGGCTGTGATTGTGAGAATGGCAAATCAGATGCTTGCACGCAAGAAACATTTAGCACGATTGTTGCCGTATAGCCGATAATGCTTGAGTTGCGTGTGTGCATGAGTATATTCAACGATGTGAAAGTCGAATATACATAAATATATCTTCTGTGGAGCTTAGACTGGTGGCTGTATACCTGGGTGGATACCTCACGCAGCAGGGCCTCGTCAGGAACAGTGTACTAGTTTTCCCAGCTATATCCCTAGAGTATGCCGCATATTAAAGTCTGAAAGAACTGCTTGCCTGGCAAAGCAATACGTTTATGAATGAGAGCGTGTAGCATAGATGCTCGGCTATAGAGCTAGTTGTTGGTCGGTAGAATGTCGACCATTACGGCAGCATCTAATTACTCATGCTGTCGTGTTGCATTTGTTAATTTAAAGTTCTGCGAAAGGGATGTCTCGTACATACAAAATCTGGCATCGAATCGTTGTATCGAGGTATCCATTCAAAGATGTCTGCTGCTTTGATGGCGACATTGTTACGAAACCTCCCTTTCGATGCTGCTTTTCATTTGCTCGTTGTCTTGTTATAAATTGCTCTTGCATGTGCTCCAGCCTGACGTCACCGTTTGTTTTTTCGTCGGATCAGCAACACCGAAGCCTAGTCCGTGTGAAAACGGTAGATACCCTCTGCTAGATCCCGATACCAGTGATCCAAAGTCTTGTGGGTTTTTATCATGGTGTCCACGTGACCATAAATGTGAAGACTCGATCTGCTGCCCGACCGGTACATCATTGAATTTTTTTAGTCAGTATAATCGATTAATATTAGTTTGCATGTTGTACCGTTCAGCTGCGCCAATAGCTCTCCTTGCGAGAGCTTCCATTTTTAATGGCAAAGGGATGAACGCTGCAATGTGCATCGCTGCTTATTTACGATTCTTTATCCGTTCACATACACGTATTGGTTCGTTAAATATTTTCAGTGAACATATATCAGTAGTTACGACTAAATGTTTTCCTTCCACATGGTTTAGTATGTGATAGCTGATATAGATTAAGAATCTAAGGTGTTTATAGCAGGGGTAGTGCATTTTTTTGTGGATTTTGTTTTATAGAAATAGATTTACTAAATTGTCTGTTTGTCTTGCAATCGTATATAACGATTTAGTTTTCTAATTGGTACTCTGTTTATTGTGCTGGGTGTTAGCCTGTTAGATCTGTTAGCACATTGCTAGGGACATTTGTGGTATTTGTGTTGGTCTTTTCTCTTCTTCATAGATAGTTCTCTGCAGGATTGGATGCCAGTACATGCACTTCTATCATTCAGTGTGCCTTTCTTTGTTTATTATATAATATAGTTTATTATATATATATATATATATATATATAATATTAATTTAGTGTGTGTATGAAATAATGGTTTAAACTTGTTTAGTATATATATATAT